TAGAAGTAACTGCATTATCAGACAACTGCTAGTATTATTACATTTTCTAGATGAGGAGCAATTAGCTTGCCACGAGTTGGAAAATATATATATTTATCCAAGACTATGTACTTCATTGTTCTAATTATTTGAAAATTAGTGCAAAGTCTTTCGGAATCTACATTTTCAGATTAGGACTGAATTTACCTGAGTATCTCTCAATCATCTTGCCCCTGATCCCGAGACCCAAAGTGCTTTTAAACAAACCTGAAATAAATTATTCTGGAGATGTACTTATATCAATAAAAATGAAAATAATGTCCCAAAGCATTAGTAGTATGTATCTTTTAAACTCTGCTTTAAGAAGAATCACGGAATCACAACTTGGATATGGAAAGCTATAGAACTGTGAGCAAAATTGTTGCCATCTGATAGAAATGTTTTTCCAAGTAAAGTAACCTTTAAAAACCTTTTCAAACTTTGGAAGAAAGGCTGCCTAAGACAGAAAAATATCAGATTTTCTTTGGAATGGGTTTGATTTATGAAAGTTATGCTAATAATTATGTTGCCTTCTAACCTAAAGGGCCTTAAAATGGAAATCTGAAAGTGACAACTCTATTTCCTGTTCAAATATTATTTTCTACTGGGCCCTGGCCAAAAATTAATTACAGCTTAAACATAGTTAATTTATTTCTACCTACCTCAAGGTATGTTAGAGTAATTAGTGAGGGCAGAAAAGATTAAATAGAGCAGAAAAGTATTATAAAAAATTATGTACTGTGCATTATTATTATACAATGAAACCATATTTATGCATTTTTATAAATTATATTTATATTTCTAAATAATCCACATTTTATAGAATTTAGAATATTATTTTTATATGCTAAAAGTAATTCCTAATGAAAACACTGAGTAAATTCAACTTTGAGACAAGTAAAAAAAAAATAGAATCTAAAACATTTTATCATTTGTTATTTGAGCAGTTGTAGTAAAATCACCAGAGAGGAATATGTAGTTGCAACCATCCACTGTATTTTCAAGATGCTCAGCAACCACGAAATGAATTTCACATCAAGACCATAATGAGAAAAAAGATTCCTGAATAATTTCCCGTTTCTGGAATTGGATATGAATGAACAGAGGAGGCAGATCATTTCTAAAAACAACATCTCATCCAATGGAGTGAATCTTTACAATCTTTGTATTAGGAACCAACATTTGAAAAAAGCGTGCAATCATTTTGACATGTCCAGGCAATACTTATTTCAAATATAGTTCATTTCTTTCAGGCAACAATAAACCATTTAGTTCAGTTTTGTTTGTTTTACAAATTGGGTAATAATAGCAACCTTCCTAAATGAATAATAGCAACCTTCTCAAATTCTATGAACTAGTTTCCAGAAAAAAAAAATGGTGGTATTTTTGTCATCCCTTCGACATCTTCCAGCAGTTCATGTATAATTATAGCTCTTAGCTCTGTGACCATCCACCAATATTTTTCCTGTGACAACCCTCCCATCAGTTAAATGAAGAACTTCACTTTTTCTGGTTCTTGTTCATAATGTTAGTAGTGGACTTAACACCTTGCTTATGGTTAGTTGCCGATATATCTATCTTTCCTGATACATTAGAAGAAAGTTGCCTGCCTTCTTACTAACGTCATGGCATTTAACTTTTTAAGCCCCTTGTTCTCATGTATAACACGGGGATAATAATGACATGCACCTCATAGGGATAAAAAAGCCATTGAATCAAATGATGAATATAAAGTGCTCATGATAGTACCTGATATACAGTAAATGCTCAGTACATGTTTCTCAGTGTTATATGCAAAATATCTACTGTGCCCGACACATAGTATATAATCAGTACATTGGAACTTAGGCCATTCTTATCATCCCCTTATTCTGTATCCCTTCAGGATCTATGGATTCAGTTAGTACTTAGTACATCACACTTGTTTGTAGTACTTTACATTAGGGCTCCCTAATACATTATGGTTCTCGTGTGTGTTCCTCTTTATATATACAAGAATATATATGTGGCATGTAAGTTTGGTAAATGCAGGACAAAGTTAAAGAGAGTTTTCAATTTCATTAATATGTTAATGGACATTAAAAACCTCTTATGCAGCTTTGTTAATACCTACTTGACTAATCTCCACATCCATCGCCTTTCTTTAAAACAGTTTCTCCAATGTTGCCCTGTAATTTTTTGGTTTTAATGCCTTGAGACATTAGTTGCACATAGGTTCATAAATGGGAGGGGCTTGACCTCTGATTGCCTTTGTATCTTTATACAGCACACCATCTGGGTTGGTGACACTGGGGATTTGATCTTTAAACATCAACCTGACTTGCATATTTACACTGCTTTTTAAAAAATTTTTAATGTTTTTATTCATTTTTGAGAGACAGAGCACGAGCGGGGGAGGGACAGAGAGAGAGGGAGACAGAATCTGAAGCAGACTCCAGGCTCTGAGCTGTCAGTCAGCACAGAGCCCAACATGGGACCCGAACTCACAAAGCATGGGATCATGACCTGAGCCGAAGTGGGATGCTTAACCCACTGAGCCACCCGGGTGCCCCGCATATTTACGTTGTTGACTGATGTGGCCACGGCTCCTTCTCATCTGTTTCTCAGAACCAGCAGTGTGTGGGAGCCCCCTAAACATAGGGGCCCTGCTACAGTTCACAACTTCTTTGAATATCTGTGTGGCTCTCGGGCACTGAGTTGTTAGAAAAGCAGAAATCCTTATCCACGAAGAGAATTGTTGCTGCTCTCCTCCTCATTCTTTCCCAGGCTCCAGACCAGAAGTGCTAGGGTCCTGTCAAGTTCTCAATTGGAGGATCAGGTTTTGTGTAAGGAAATCCAATGCGACAGAAATCCCGTGAGATTTCCTCCAGGAACTCCTAAGTAGGTGATCCATCAAGGGTGGAATTTTCTACAAAAGTCAGGCATTACCAGATCTCACTGGGGATTTAAATGGCCCCAAGTGACAGCAAAACCTAAATCCCTTGAGGGTTCTTAAAGAAGAGGTTCATGAAGGAGTGGAGTGAAACGTCTTCGTCTACAAAAAACCTCTTGAGTCACATTTTAAAGTATCTGCAAAAATCAGTCTTGCATACAGAAACCATAGAAATCTATTGACAAAAGTAATATATGGGAATGCATTTAGAGGAAAGATCACTGAATCTCTCCTTGTCATTAGAGCATTTCATAATAAAATGGTCATTTCATTTCTATTTGTATTATGATGAATTGCAATTGATATTATTGCATATATACATATGCCTTCTGTTCACATAGAGCTACTGTAGAAAGAATACCTTAAGGAAGAATTCTAATAACTCTCAGTGCAGCAATTTTGTTAGTAAAAATTATTTTTTTTCCTTTAAAAAATGTTTTAATGTTTATTTATTTTTGAGAGAGAGAGAGAGAGAGAGAGAGAGAGAACGCACAGGGGAAGGGCAGACAGAGGGAAACACAAAATCCGAAGCAGGCTCCAGGCTCCGAGCTGTCAGCACAGAGCCCGACGTGGGGCTGGAACTCATGAACCATGAGACCATGACCCGAGCTGAAGTCAGATGCTCAACCAACTGAGTCACCCAGGCGCCCCTTTTTTCTTTCTTTTTTTTTTTAATTTTTTAATGTTTACTTATTTTTCACACACACACACACACACACACACACAGAGCAGGGGAAGGGTAGAGAGAGGGAGTGTTAGTAAACAGTTTTAAAAGGACAAAGTATGCATTGAGGGAAATAAAGATGTTCTCCTTTAACAACATCTCTATATTTTATTCGAAATATAAAAGCAAAAATATATTAGTCTCACATCCAAGCTAAACAATGCACTCGATTTTCAGATTAAAACTATGATGTTTCTGGGTAAGTCTGTTGTTGCCAAATAGCTTTCCGCCATTTTGTCACCCTCTCCTCCAATTGTATCCAGGAACTATTTTAGGCCTTGGTGAGCTACAGGGCTGGGTGCTGTTCAGCCATGTGGATCTGAAAAGATAACTGTCCTTTGTTATGCAGTAACCACACTGCAGTCGAAGATGAGGTTCAAGGGCAAGAATGAGTTTTCTAAAGGGGTCTTTGCCTTGAGAACGGCTTTGGCACACAGTGTCACCCTAAGGGGAATATTTTGGAGGGGGTCCCTCGTGCTAACACTGCTTTCACCATTTCATTAATTTTTCATCGGACACAAGAGCGCTTTAAACATTGTACCTTAAAGACTCTTTCAACCTCAGTGTATATGAGGGCTTCACCTGGTTTTGCAGAGTAGTAGCATCTTTGCTGACTCATAAGCACCGCTTTCATGCAATGCTCCAGCTCAGATCTTACATCTAGCAGGAAAGAAAAGTTGTGCTGTTTGTATGGATCACTCTGCCTATTAAAAAAAAAATCCTCCAGAATTTTCCTTTTCAAAATAGAACCTGCAAGCCAATGGCCACAATACTTGATTTCAAGTCCTCCGGTACAGGTTCATCTGTTTGAAGAAGGTGCTACCTCAGCACAAGGACCTTATGTTTTTGTGGCCACGGGCCATATCAGGAACATGTTAGGTACTGCTTTATTTATTTATTTATTTATTTACTTATTTATTTTTGGGAGAGCGTATGCAGGGGAGGGGCAGGGAGAGGGAGACAGAGGATCCAAAGCAGGCTCTGTGCTGACAAGCCGACAGCAGCGAGACTGATGTGGGGCTCGAACTCATGAACCATAAGATCATGACCTGAGCTGACGTCAGACACTCAACTGACTGAGCCAACAAGGTGCCCCTATTTAAAACCTAAATTTAAGAAGGAAAATTAGCTTAGATTCAGCACTTTTACCATAAATTATAGTTTCTGAGTAGATGAAACTAATTTGGGAGGCAGATGTGAACGAAAATACATTCCCTTGAAGTTCCCAAATTCTGTTTCTGATCATTTAAAAAAAGGAATATAGGGTTTGTATTAAGCCCTCTATCAGGAGAAAAAAACAAAAATATTAACACCTACCATTGTTGCTGCTGTAGGAATACCTCTTTTTATTTCATACAGGAGTAAATAGTCACATAAAGTATTCATTAATATCCAGGAAACAAATCAGACTTGCCCTTAGGCAGCCTTAACTAATGCACTTATCTTTATTAGAGAAGGTTTTAAGTGACCAATATTTCAAAAATCAGAACAAACTTAAATGTTTTTATCTTTTCACTATATTCTAATTTGGTGCTCAAATCCATAATGATGGTCATTTAGAACAATACCTTATAACTGTTAACACTTGAAATAAATCTTTTACACATTCAAAAGTCTTCCCTTTTTATTGTGTTACTGAACTACTTTGCAAATTTTTCTTCTCTCGCTCTGAAATGTATCAGAACCTTAGAGAAATTAGAAAAATTAGGATATACCTATAAACGTATTCACACATAAGAAACACAAAGATACTGTGTAGCACACGTGTGCACGTGTGTGTGTGTGTGTGTGTGTGTGTGTGTGTCTACATAAGATAAACGTATCATCAGCTATTCTGTCAGGATTAATTTCTTAACCACCTTAACTTTTAAAAAGTTTTTAATTCTACTTTTTATTTTATTTATTTATTTTTTTAACATGAAATTTATTGCCAAATTGGTTTCCATACAACACCCAGTGCTCGTCCCAAGAGGTGCCAGAGAAAAGCATCTGACCTCAACATACTTACTTGCTCACGTGTTAGCCACCACACCGATAGAGCCTCTAATCCTTGACCCCACCCCCTGAACTCACTAACTACACTCGCTAAATCTTTGACCCAGACCAAGGGGAAGTGAAAAGACCAGCTGATTTTTTTCAGTATCATTTGAATTGTACTAAGGAATGCCAGAAGTTTCCAGATAAGTCTCCTGCTTCAAGACAAGATTGTGCAATCTCCATTTCACCTGTTTTTTTTCTTTTCCTGTAAAGTTCTAAGAAAGAGTCCTCATCAGAATTTGATACAGACATACCAGCTCTACATTTTATTTCCAAAAGAAGCACCATGAAGTTTGTGAAGTTTTAAATAATAAATTCTTTTTTTAGTCTTCTTTCACAATCGGTAACTGCAGCAAACACTGGGAGGAAAAAAAAAACATGAGAAAAATATGAGAAAATCAATTTTATCTCTACAATTACAGGAAATAAGCTCTATGGAATATTCTTCTTGATTGGATTGGATCTGAATCATCAAAGGAAAGACATTTTATCCATTTGGCTTATTCATAGAATGTGCTTTATTGCATTATATAGTAAACTGGAAGATATTGGGTGAGTCATTTAACTACTCACCAAGGCTCATTTAGTAAAATACCACCCCTGGTGCTCTATATGTTATGACAGAGGCTTAGAGAAGAAAATGTATTTTATAGCTATTATCAATATTAGTCACAATCTTTTGTCGTGTTAGGGAAGATATTTCGTATAAAAATAAAAGAAGCCACTGACCTAGGAGGTAAATGATTTGCCTCATGTCACAGAGAGGTTGAGGGAGATCAAGGCTCCTGGCTCCCCATCTGGTACACAAACTAGTGGAAAACATTACTCTCATAAATGCACGTAGTTGATAAGAGGGTTCCTATTCCCAGGAAGACATTACTTACATGCCTTTTTGGGTGAAAAGGGATGTTAAGCCACAGGTTGGTTTTTGTTTTTTTGTTGTTTTAATCTCCCTACCATGGTAGATGGGCACACTTGAATTAAATAAAATACCTTACCATCCAGAGAAACCTGCTATAAATAATGAGAAAGGACTCCAAAGCTTCATGTTTTTTTTTCTTGAATAGGGAGGAATGAAGTAAAAGTGTTTGGACACGCAGAAACTGTATCCTAAATGTAAGAAATCATGTTTGTCCCCAAAGAAAGTCATATGATAAACACATGGGCTTGTAAAACAGCCTACTCCAAACCACGTACTGAAGTGAAAGAGAGAGTTGAAGATGTATTTTATTTGATGAGCCATATACAAATCGTAGTGTATGTTCACAACCTCATTAAATAAATGCAGCTCCCTTGGAACAAACCAAACATGGTCACAAACTTCCTGAGTCTATTTCGGGAAACAGAACTGCTGGGCAAGTTAAGTTTCAGGCCACGGACCAACCACAAGAGCCACAAGGACGGCTGGGGGGATAAATTTGGAAACCCATAGTGCAGAGCCTGGGGGATTCCTTCGAGGCCTGGGAGCAGACCAGTGAGCAGTTACTCAGGGAATTACCGTATTTGTTCATATACGACATATTTGAAAAGTGGAAGTTAAAACATTGACCCTGCTTCTAGTTCTATACCCCAATTTCACGTGTGCTTGAAAACCAATATGGTAAAATTGGGCTGGCTGGGCGGAACAAATAGATTTCAGCTCTGCATGCACACACACACACACACACACACATACACACACACACGGAAAATGTGCACATTTCTAAGTAGGGTATTAATTTTTTACCTATTGTTATAGGTCAAATATATTATCAACGCTTCGGTGTTTTTTAAAGTCTCAGATCAGGTTTTCTCCAAATGTGCAAGGACCTTGCTGGTATATAGATACATTCTTAGGGATTCGGGTAGTCTCTTGATTTTTTTCAGTGTTAGGTTTTCACTGTTCTGATAACCTTTAAAAACTTAATATAGCATATTCTGGATCATCTGGAGGATCCCAAACTGCCATTTGATTTGTGCTTACAAACAAATTGATGCCACATGGTATTTCTAAAGGGAAAAAAATGGCTTTAATATATAAACCATGCATTCACCCTCAAATGAAGGCCAAATGCTGTCATGATTTACTGTACAAAAGAAGTTTTCACAGCAGTTCCCAAAGGGCAAATCGGGGTGAACTGAATCATCACATAACACATGGTAATGTAGACCTCGCAGTCCTGCAACAGGGAAGCTGTAAAGTCGGTTCTTTGTGCCAGGACCCCTGGCTTCCACTTCCATGACATATTTGGACCATGCATCAGGGGTACAGGGAATCCGGAGATGGTCACCAGCAGCAGGCATCCTGTAGGACATGTTTCTCAGAAGGCTTTAGTGGAACACATTTTCGTGTGGTGGGGGCATAAAGAGAAGCTCACCTGTCAGCCTAGTACAGGATTATAGAATAGCAAATTTGGGCAGAAATAACTAAAATGAAAGAAACATCCTTGACAGAGGCTTTATCATGCAAATTAGGTCTATTTAAAAATTCAATGTGCGGCAATTATAGATTAAAAGACTGAGAACTTTCCGGAAGCATGTTGTATTCCATGCTATCATGCTCAGTAAAGTTTGAACACAGTTGTAAGACAGGCTGTAAACATTGATGAAACGTGGTCCCTACCCTTAGGGTACTTACATTTTAAGGAAGGAGACAGTTTCCCAATGAATTAATTTCAGTATAATTGGGATGCTATGGAAGAAAGAGAAGAGCCCTTTTCTAACCTGATACAGAAGAAGGACGAAATAAGCAGGAACCAAAGCAGGCTCATGAAGACATGCATCAGAAGTAGAGGCACAGAATTTGAGAGGTAAAAAGAAGAGTATCAGACACAAAGCCCACAACAGAGGCTCTGTCCTAAGGAGCAAACTTTGGCTTTTCTGCTAAACACCAACACAACATACACTGTGCAGGAATAACATTTCGAGTCACTATAGTTTCTTGGCACATTGTACTTAATTCAGAGTCTGAGGGTCAGACTTCTCAACTCATCCTGCTGTTCTTCTAATAAAGCCACAAAGCATAAGTATACCAATAACACATTGTATACACTAGTGACAAATAATCCAAGCCTCTTAGAGTATTTCTAGTTATCTCAAAAGGCAGTGCAAAAATCTTAAACACAATTTTCACTCTTTTCAAAATTAAAAAAAAAAGAAACGATATTTGTATGGGAAAATTATTTTTAATTTAAGGTACGCCTTATTACGTCCGTAAAAGTGGAGAAGAAGTGGTGCCTTCTAGAGTTAGCTAAAGAATCAGAACAATTCAGATTGAAATTGTGCTAAACCTATCAGAGCTTTGTGGCTTGGTTAGCTGTTGGAATAGCCCGGATTGCCAGGCATATCTCCAAGAACCACATTTTAGTTTTTCATTCTCATTCCGGAGTAACTTATAAATAGTGAGAGCTAAAAAAGTCTTCTGCCTCTGCTGCTTTAAGGTCAGTGCCACAAATCAGCCTGGAAAGCCGAAATCCAATGGGTCCAAAGAGCCCCTCGTAGTTCGGATGCTTACAGCTTTCAGCTGTAAGCCTGCAGATCACAGAAGCAAGTTGCAGCACAAAACTGAAAAGGTTGCAAGCTTCAAAGCGAATTCTAAGTAATGGGATCTTGAGCTGAAAGTACTCTAGAAATCTGATGAAGTTCAATAGCTAAGTGCCTGACATCAGTTTCAATAAATTGGAAACTGTGAACTTATTTACAATAGTAACTATTCTCCTCAGCCCCACCCAAACTCCTGGGATTCTATTGTAATTTAGACACAGAGAATCGTGTAATAACAACCCAGAGAAGATAAATGTAGAACATAAAAAGATCAGTCCTAATTACAGTTTATATCGGCTTTGGGTAAGAATTTTGCCTTCTGGAAGGTTATCCAAACCAAATTCTGGACCCTTGGAGAATGTTCTGCTTTATTTATCGTTCTGCAATATTGCCTGCCTTTTTCCAGTGTTCTTTGTATTTAAGAAATATTTTGTACATGTCCCTGTTTTGCAGCCTAGCTGCTGATTTCAGTGAAAAATGGATGGTGGGGTACTTATTCGTGTAAATATTTTTCTTTTTGTTTTTCGCATTCTTTAACAATAAAAACCTTATAACTTCATTCCCCCAGGTAATGATAGAAGCCAGGCAGAAATTATTTAAGAGAAAAAAAATGAGGTTAATATTTCAGTTTTGCAAAACAGGAAGAACTTAGGTAGTATATAAAAGGGTCATGAATTCACAGGCGAGATTATCTGTAGTGTTTTATCTTCATAAACATAACTGAAAAAATGATTTAGAATTCAGTTGTAATTTGAAATAAACATGTAACTTATTGAAACTAAATTGTTTAAAACAAAGTTAAAAATTATCAATTAGATCTTTTTACTTTGTCTTTTAGTCATCTTATATCTTTCTTGAAATCTCATTGCGTAGGCATGTTTTATTAATGATCTATTAATAAGCATTCACTTAAAACATGACTGATTAAAAAGTAGACCTGATTTTAAGTAAGTGTTCTGAAAATGTTTCATTTATTGAATACATTGAGGTTTAAGTTCCCATTTATATAGCTGGAGGGTAAATTACAGATACTCATGCTTGTTTTATCATTATAATGAAAGCATCACTCATATTTGCAACCCTAATTAAAATTCTGCTTTGACCCATATAAATTCAGCCTCTCCCTCAACTAGATTATTTTCAAATTTTTGTATAAACTTTACTATATATGGGTATGATAATGAATGTATCTATCTTTAATATAACTTAATCAAGGTTAAGAGAAAGTAAAAATTAGGTTCAGACTTTTTAATACTGCAGGGTACATTTTTAGTACCCTACAAAGGGAATTAGTTCATACGACTCCCATTAACTTTAATGGAACCTGTATGGGCCAACTGTATGCTGAAATTCATAGGAAGTTAAACATCAGTAGAGTTCACTAGCTCCATTTTTTTTTTTTCCTTTTTGGAACTCTAGTTTTGACTACTTTTACTTTCCAATGGTCTAGAGGGAAGACATATCAATAAAAATAAGTCACCTAAGTGCTTTCCAAGTAAGCCCCCATTTTTTATACATTTGCCTAGAAGTTAGAAATCTGCAAACAATGCCTAATAACATTTGAGACTCAGCAAATAAATTCAACTAACTAAAGAACATAGTTTTTAATATGAACATAGTGTTCTTTAAACATGAATATTATAGCACTTGCTGTCCTCCAGTGTTTATTCATTTTTCACATTCCTGTTTGTAATTACAATAGCAAAAACCAAAGACTTTAGTCATTTTCAATATATAAAAATTTATTTTACATTTCTATCAACCTGTTAAGTGTTTATATTTGAAATGAAATTTATTTGGAATTCTATATGTTGGTCTTGTTAAAATATTGTGTACAGTCCTCAGGCACTCAAAAAACACATGGACAATTAAAAATTAAAACAGCATCACGAGGCCAAAGGAACCTATCTGTTGTTCACCAGTATCAGCAATATCTTTCCACAATTGTAAATTCAATCACCAGACTATGCAGTGAAGTTATGATCAGCTAACAAATCCATTCAAAAGTATTCAGTGTAATATTGTATTTACATTCATCACACAGAATACCAAAAGAGATAAATGAAGATTCCTCTAATATCAACTCATCCAAGATGTTCATAGCACTGCTGAATTTGGAAACAACTAGGTATCTCTCAGTTTTCTCTTTTTCTCTATCAAAGAGATCAATCTAAATTTAGAATTTTGTAGAAATCTGTAGAAATTAAAATCACCATTTTAAAAATTAACTTAAAAATTTTAAAAGAACCTTCAGTGTGAATGTAAGAGAATCTTTCATTTTTACCTTCTTTGGGCATCTAAATAGCTCAAACTGGATTCATCACACAAAAAACTTGGTTTAATCAGGAACAACAAGTAGACACTAATTAGAGCATTGATAATTAATATCATAAATCACTTGATCTTGGATAAATGTTTCATTAAGAAAAAAGATTGGTCAATAAACTCTGTACATAAGTGAAGTTTCCTGTAAAAAAAAAAAAAAACATTAGTTGGTTATCATGTGAACATCTGAATCATGCATACCATCAATGAATATTACTGCTGCAAGTAACATTAGCCATCTAGTCTATGCTATCATTCTTTATCTTATTTAAATAGGCTCTACACCCAACATAGGGCTTGAACTCACAACCTCAAGGTCAAGAGTTGCATGCTCTACCCACTGGGCCAGCCAGGCACCCCCTATGCCACTATTTTAAAAGTGAAGAAATTGAGCCTCCAAGAAGTCAAGTGATTATCCTAAGGTCTTCCAGCTACTTAGATTAAAATCTAAATCTCTTGCATTCCTTCACTGAGCAAGTTTTTATCGGGCACCTACACAACATTGGAAATGGGTTAAAGTGATAAACAAAACATACAAGATCCTTGCCATTTTGGATCTGACATCCCAAATGAAGAGATAAAGTAAAGAAGGAAAGAAGTAAAGCAAGGAGACAATTTCAGATAGGGAGCTTACTCAAAAGGACTTGGTGTAATTTTTAACAACTAAGAATGCAGCTAATTGATAGTATTTCTCTTCTCAACTCTCGGTATTTCCTTCCTCTTTTCGAAGTTAAAAATAAAGAGAGAGATTTATCAGTGATCTATCATACATCTCATTGGTCAGGTCCTCTCAAAAGACATACGCATATTCATGAACCACATCCATATTTGCCACGTTTCATCATACTCATGTTTGTCAGCTGTCAAAGATGGCCACTTTTATCAGAGTTTCTCGCTGTCTGACTTCTGCAGTTTTGGATTGTTGAGTTTGTTCCTGTGTCACAGGAAAAGTTCAAAGACTAAAAACCTAAGACCATGTGCTCAAAATAATTTCAGGAAAGTGTACGGGTAAGGTTTCTCTTCCAGAGCAAAATGGTTGTCCCTCCATGGTTATTTTTCATTCCATGTGATTTTCTGTGTAGAGAACAAAAGAGAGTTTGAAAGATGAGGTGGGGTATGAATCTGGCTGCTTGTAATTCTATGAAATGATACTGACTGTCTTGTCTTCAATGTCAGACAGTAAAACTGCTTCCTCTAACTAGCAAAAGAGATGCTCAATGCTTTTGTCTTTCATTTTTTCTTAATGCATAATTTATATATGGCCCATTTATTAATAACCATGAAGTGTTTTACCTGGAAATCTGCTCACAAAAGAACAGAATATACAGAATTAAAATGAACATTTCATAAGGTAGATATTATCTTTATATTAAAAAAAAGTGCCCTAGTTAATTCTTTCTGAGATTGTTGAATAAAATCCAACAGAAATTATTCAATTATTAATATAACTATATTTATCACATTAAACAAGAATTTCAACTATATCCTGGTTACTGATAAGTCCCAAGGGGAATAAAACATTTTTAATAATGACATATTCTACCTAGAAGAGAAAATATTTCAATAAAGCACCATTTCTGTGCATTTCTTGAAGGCAGAGAAACTTTATTATTCATCTTGTATGTGTTTTCCTTGCCTAACCTAAGAGCATTAAATTGTAATGATGACAAAATCTACAATAGCTAATATTTATGAAAAAAATCAGTATTTGTGAGGCAACAGTCTTCTAACTCAGGTACTATTATCATGTCATGTTACTGATGAAGAGAGCTTAAATATTTTGCCCAATGTCACTCAGTTGATGAGAGGAAGAGCTGGGATTTGAATGGAAGCATCTGACCCCAGAACCCAGCTTCTTCACCAGTAACTACTATTTTCCACAACTTGCTCAGAGTAGACATTAAAAAATACATTTAAATTAAATTGAAATCCTGATAGATTAGTCTCCTTGATATAAACCATTAAAAAGACAAACTTGTGGGTAAATGTTGAGGGTAAAAAGTAAAACATTTAGTTCACTGAATATTCTATGCATTCCAAATATTCTAGGCCTTATGGAAGTCTAGAGCTGAGGAAGGATTTTAGCAATCATTCCAATCCAGTCCCTTCCATTTTCAGATACGGAACTAATCCCTTCTGCGAGCAGAGAGGTGACTCAGGTTACTTAGAGGCATACAACTTGTTAATGGGAAAGCCAAATTTCCTAATTTCCAAGCAAAAAAAATTTGAATTACATTTGTTTTTGTTTATTTATTTGAAAGTGAATTAATTATACCTAGACCATTGCTTTATATAATATGGCAGACTCTTAAAGTGTCCTCTATCATCCCTAATTCCTGATGTCCATGACCTTATGTGATCTCCTTTCCCTAAGTGTGGATGAGATCTGTGGTGTACTCTTAACCACCAGAATATGGTAAAAGCAATGGAATGCATTAATGACATGTATGTGGTCATTTGATTACTTCCATAAGGTCATAGTTCCCATTTTGCAGAAATGTCTCTTTCTCTTTCTGGCTTTGATGACACAAGCAGTCATGTTGGAATGTGGTGAGGTGCTGAGGGGAACCAATGGCCTGTATGGACCTCCAGCTAAGAGCTAGCAAGAATATGAGGACCTCAGTTCTACATCCACAAGAAAATGAGTTATAGCACTAACCTAAGTGAATTTGCAAATGGATCCTTCCCTAGTTGAACGTTCACATGAGAACTCAACCTTGACAATATCTCCATTGCAGTCTTTCAGAGGACACAGCTGAGCTGTCCTTAGACTCCCAATCACAGAAATTGTGAGATAATAAATATCTGTTGTTTCAAACTACCACTTTTAGGGTAATTTCTTATACAACAATAGAAAACTAGTACATGTAGTCTTCTTTGTTATGGCAAGAATCTGATGCTGAATTTAATTATTCTCAAACTAAATAAGTTTAGTTAGGTAAGGTTTAGTTACTTTTTATGTAATAGGAGAACCTCAATAAATATTTATTGAAGGAAGGAGTGATAAAACATCTTTAGTATTAGTATAACATCAGTAAGGAAGAAGTGAGATCTGATCATGGCATTAATATTATAATTTTTAAAAAAATTATTACCTAAAACACCATTCATTCTTTGTTTATATGTACATAGAAAATGAAATCAAAATGGCTTAAGATTAGAAAGGAAGAAATGACTTAGCCTTTAGAAATTTGTTGTGACTTTTCTACATATGTGGTATCCGTAATGCTATCATAACTTTTTCTGTTACTTTAGGGTCAGTGCTATAAAGCATTTATCAGTGTGGCTGTTTAACAACCGTTCCATGTTTAAGTTCATTAAAAGAACCACTTTTGACTGAATTCTTCATTTTAAAACTCTACATCACACTTGAACGGGCATTTATTTTATTCCTACGTTATTCAGACATTCTATAATGCCTAGTAAAAAGTCTTCAAAAACCAACTAGCTATGAAAAACAGATATGTGGATTTGAGTGTTCAATGAAAATGCTAGCCTGTTGTTTTTAATGTGACTATCCATAAAGTTAAGATACACTGGAGCTATTTCTATAGCGGTAACCAGTCAATTTGTCATTGACTGTAACATTACTAGGATTATAGGCAAATGAAGTTAAGTTACAGTAGCTATTAAAACAATCTCAAATTTAAAACATGGGGATTTTATTTTGTATCCTTAAAAGGAACTTGCAAAATTGGTTTCCGGGCATATAACATTTCCTGTGTACTGAAAAAAAATTTACCTATATTAAAAAAAAAATTTAAATCATCCAGTTTGCTTCATTTTACAGGTGAAATATTAAAGTGCAGGGAGAGACCAATTCAAGGACAAGAAAACGGTCAGTGACAGAATAGCTTCGTCAATCTATTCTCCTGAATTTTACTAATAAAGAAAGACTTGTAATTTCTTGTGCATTTATCAAACCTTAACAATGGAGAGTGACAAAGGCAGAACATACAAGTCATGTGTTCTTGTCTTATCCTAAAATACAAGGACCAAGGAGAGCCTGGGTGGCTCAGTCGGTTAAGTGGCTGACTTCGGCTCAGGTCATGATCTCGTGGTCCGTGAGTTTGAGCCCCGCGTCAGGCTCTGTGCTGACAGCTCAGAGCCTGGAGCCTGTTTCAGATTCTGTGTCTCCCTCTCTCTGACCCTCCCCCGTTCATGCTTTGTCTCTCTCTGTCTCAAAAATAAACGTTAAAAAAAATTTTTTTTTTTTTAAATACAAGGACCGAAGCATGAGAAATCTTAGTTTCCATATATAGATTTATGCATTCTGATACACCACAGATACCAAGTAAAGGTTAATAAAAGGAATTTGGAAGAAGTAATTTCCCAAAAGAAAGGGATGAATCTTAAGAAATCATGGTTGTGGAGAAGTAGGTATACAGCATGTCAATACATCAAATAATTTTTGAAAATGAATTTATTAATAAACAGCTAGTGGGATTCATTGTGTTTGCTGAACTTGAATCATTACTTTTTGTACTTTTGAAAGAAACTAGATAGTCATCATTCATGATTCTAACCACAAATAATGAAGGCCAGAATATTAAAAATAATGAAATTTGAAAAAAAAAAACATAAATTCAAAAATTTTAAATAAACTGTAGATTATTGATAACACATGAAAGAGTTCTGAATTTATTTCTGGAGATTATAAAGTATGTAACAGTTTAACAATTTACCATCTCTATAGATGTTATGTGTACTATATTAGGTGAAAAAGTAGAACTATGAGAACTTGAAATAATTTTAGAAAGTCTAAAATAACCAAACGCTGTCCAACTCTAATGTTTATTCCCATTTAAAATTGAAAACCTACATTTTAGGATTGCTTTTTGTTTATTCCAGAATGCAATGTTGTATTTTTCTTATTCGTCTTAGACAAAGGGGTAAAAGTGTATAAAAGAGGGAACGTGTTTTTACATACATCTTAAAATAACGATTGGGATACGAAAGCAATTGGAAAAACTGAAAACAATATTTTACAAACAGTATTCTAAAAGAAGACCTCCTGAAACAACCTGTTCCACAGGTAACACTGGGGCATCAGTTTACATAAGAAAGCTTTTACCAACTTTTACTGGCTGCAGTGTATGAACTTTGGAGCTCTTTAGAACTGCATGGTTTTCATACTCGGTATGCCTGCATGCATATATGTGTATAGATAATTGCTATGCCTTGTACCAAGGATATGAACTGTGTAAAATTACTGTAGGAAGTTGTAAATGATGTATGAAATGAGAAATCTTTGCCCACTGGCAGTACATAGATAGAACAGAGATAGTGACGTACAATCTCTTCTCTGTCATTTGTCATAGTATTCATCTTATAAAAGGCAGAACATATCAATAAACCTGAGTGTGGAACATGCATACTAAACAATACATATTATTTCTCCTTTTTTAGGTCTCTTGTCTTCTTAAAAACCAGTTTACAAAAACCTTTGTGCCCAAGGCAAATGTAAAAAACTTCTCTGTTAATGATTTCAATGACCGATCCCAAAACATTAAATGCAGAGATTATAAATAGCACGGTGTGTGACTTTATACTGATACTCAATATTGATGATTTTAGACTTGCCACTCAAGGTGAGTCTTTTTTGTGAGGACATATATAGAGGTTTTATCTACAAGGTCTAAAATGCAACCATTTAGAAACATCTGAGGGTAGCATTGACAGTTTCATCGCCCCGATGTGTGAAAGATTTCAGATTTCACCCCATCACTGACCGGCAGGAATAAATGGAACAGCACCTTTCTCCCGAATTACTTTTAATCTAAAATTCTTGTGACTGACCCCTCAATCCCACTGGCCAATCCCCAAATCAAATAATTGATCAAACAATTGTGGTAATTAAACTTCGTTATATTCAATGCCATCTCATCACAAAATGCTATGTTTTCTACCAGGAAATCCAACCTGAGAGCAGAAATAGAAACAAAACAGAAAAAAAAAAACTCTTTGCAAGTTAGCATATATTTTAGATTATAAAATTTAAGTTAAGAAATGAACACAGAACAGGTGAAGCAAAGCTATACCTACCTACACAAATAAAGCCAATATGATCAAGTGAGTTTATGCAAGAATGGAAAGTATAAACCAAAGTATCTTTTTGGTCTTCAAGAAGCTAACAGTCTAATAACGTAGAGCTCAAAATATAAGAGGTGCCGTTTTTCAATGACATCTGACCTTTATTTTTTATGTACACAGAAGGAAATTTTAACATTCATGAAATTGCATCTTGCCCAATTTTGAATGCTTTCCTTCATGTGCCAGTTATGGTTTTGTTACAATAATAACGACATAATCAAATTTTAACAATAAAGAATATGCTCTGGCATTTGACATTTTTTACAGGATGCTCCTGAAAATTCTTTCTAAAAATTGTAAAACAAACCTTTCCTTACCAGTTGAGTTCATGTCTTCTTGGAATCACAATCGATTTTTCTTTTGCTTGTTGGAAGTGAAATATCTGATTTTATTTCCCATCAGTAGACCACACAGATGAATGAATTTTGTTTTGCATACGAGGCACATAAAAATGATGGTATCGTTTTGTTGCTGTGAATCAAGTCAACAAAAGAGCATAAGACAAAACAATATCTGCATTTGGTTTATTTTCTAAGTAGAATGTAAATGCTGTCTTACTACAATGAACACATAAACAGCAGAAATTAATTTAAAATTTTCAATGAAAGAAGCTTTCAAATGTTGGCTCAACATTTAGATTGTATTTAGAAGCATACGTTTTCACCACCACCTTTAATATTAATATACAGAGACTTTTTTTGTTTGTTTCTTGTTCTTTTTGTCTTCCTACCCTTGCACTTGCCGCATTTTGTTTTGTGCTGCTTTCATCACTGAAGTGCTATTACCCACTCAGCTCCTTGTCCAAGACGGAGCTCTTGTTACTCTTCCTAGCTGAGAGAAATTTTCTCAGTTCCTCTATTCTCCTTCTTTCTAACAATTGGTACATACTGAAACTGTGGAACCAGGATTTTAGCAACTGACGGCTTTGCAATTCCTCTCCCATGGTATTTTCATTTTTCATTGTTTACGTGATCAAAAATACAAAAGCTGGGAAAATTCTGAGAGTACCAGCTGGATGGACAATTAAGGAAACACTTGCTCAAGTCCATAAGTCTGATAATTATCCCTGCCATCCATACAGAGATGTTGTCAAATACAGTCAGCAACAATGTATTTTGTTTCCCATGAAAAATAAAACAACTCCGTTCCACCCACTCACCCCCCACCCCTCCATTGCCATCACAACAACACTGGGATTAATTTATATCAGCGAAATAAGAAAAAGTCTGTGAGGCAGGGAAAATAGGGCTCACTTCTGATATTGATCAGATCCTCGGAGTTAAAACAATCAGTAAAATCTCTCTAGTATGATTGTATTTGCTCTTATATTTGCTCTTAATTATTAAAAAATGATTGTAGGAGTCATATCAACAGATTATACATTTGTATTTCTCTTTGTGTGTATATAAAAGCGTGTCAGAATTCGCATAGGACTTTATGCAATTCATAACACATCCACATGGATCTCTGGATCAGAGATCTCCCCAATTAGGAAATATTTGTGTGGAATTTGGTTGACTCCATCCATTGAAATATTTAGACCTACTCAGTGGGAATGCTAAGTAGAAGTCAAAATGCGCCATGATTTTCCTTTAGCCAAAAATTCCATCAACAATTGTCTCTTAGTGAAAATTTTGTAGGTTACCTTTGGTTAATCGAGGGACAGAAAACATCTGTCAAGTCCTTTTGTTGATTCAAAGCATGTTTCTGCTCTCCCCCGCCTACCTCCCATTTTCTTCTGGTAGCTGTACTTCCTGCTAATCATTTTCCCAAATACCTCTTTGGAGATACTTACTCAGCTGATTTCCAAAATTGATGCCAGAGTTAATTTGCATCAAAAAAAGCTACATTTGTTGGAGCGCCTGGGTGGCTCAGCCTGTTGAGCATCTATCTGACTTTGACTCAGGTCGTGATCTCATGGTGCTGGGTTTGAGCCCCACGTTGGGCTCTGTGCTGACACTGGGAGCCAGGAGCCTGCTTCAGATTCTGTGTCTCCCTTCCTCTTTCTGCCCTTCCCCCACTTGTGCTCTGTCTCTCTCTCTCCCCCGAAAATAAACATAAAAAAAAAAAACCTACATTTTTTTAAGGCATAAATAAAGTAGATGGCTTATGACTATAAATTGAGTTTACCCCACACTTGTATGAGTTATTTATTTATTTATTTATTTGAGAAAGAGAGAGAGTATGCACGTATGCACACACTTGGGGAGGAGGCAGAGGAAGAGAGAGAGAGAATCTTAAGCAGGCTCCAAGCTCAGTGTAGATGCCAACTACAGGGCTTTATCCCAGGACCCTGGGATCATGACCTGAGCAGAAATCAAGAGTCAGATGCTCAATTGACTGAGCCATCCAGCCTCCATTAGCACTTCCTTTTCAAGGACAATTTTATGTTGAGGAATTGTGTTTTTGTTAAATTTAGTTATATGTGATTTCTAAAATTGGGAAAGCATAGTCTTTAGTTTTTTTTAGGATGTATTGATTCATAAAAATTCACATTTTTTGTAAACACTATTGCTTTTGCCAGAAGATAATCAGAAGTTGCGTGATAAATTATTTTGTGATTCGCACACTTTTGACTAATCTTCAACTGTATTCATGGACCACTTAATTTAACCAATTTTATTAAAAGTATGAAACCAATTATTTCTGTCTATTGAGAATGATGTTACCTTGGTTTTTAAAACAATGGTCACATCTGCCATAAAGACATTATAAAAATTTTTCCATGCTTGATATATACTGGTATCATGTAACTATACACAGTGAATTGTGAAATAATGAAATATGAAATAGGTATTTAGGCTATTGGAAAAAGAATATTTTTTTCTTTCTGCCCACTCAATGGCAAGTAACCTAAGCCTTTTGAAATAAAGATACATAGCACTCCTTTATGACAGCTGACTTTGTTTTCTTTCCAGATGAATTTCTCTAAACAATTATCAACATTTTTATAACTTCTTTTCTTTTTATTTTTTAAAGAGGGTTCTGAAAAATGTCTTGGTGCCTATTAGCGGTTAGTTGTATAATTCTTTTGAAATATAAACTGCCTTCATTTTGTATCCATTCTGGAAAGCTGAGCTTATATTTTGCAACAACATAAGCATCTATTTTATTTGGATACTATACCAAAACCAGGCAAAACTGAATTTAAGTGACAAAATATTATCTTTCAGGAATTTAAAATATTCTTTGCCTTATATGTTAAGTTCTGGTAGCTTTAATTTTTATAATACTGTACTAGGAAAAGGAAGCTTAACACAAGAGGAGGGAAATTTAATGAGTAACTTAAAAAAAATCACCATTGAAGCATAATTCTCACTTAAACACGGAATAAAATGAAATTTCATTGCAATTAGAATGAAAACTCTACCACCTACCTAAAATATGTTTGCTATTTTGGAAAATAAGTAAAATGCAAATTTGGTATCATAAAATCTTGGGTAGTCAATGATTCATGTGTATATAAAATTGAGTAACTTCATGGCATGCAATACGTTATTTGCAAGCATCCTAGAAAAACAAGCTATTTCAAGTTCCATTCTGCAACAGGGTGTATACCTATCTCATGTGAGTACTGTAGCAAGTATATTCACACCAAATGCAAAACTTATTTAGGTCTCAAATTCTAACTCAAAATTTTGCTTTAATTTTGAAGACTATAAACATGTAGACTGTACTTTCTAGCCAACATTAAGCTTCAAAGCTAAATCATGCCTTACTAACCTCAATAAGTTTACTAGTGTAGTACAGTGCAGTATAGTATGATATATCCATTTGAAGGTGCATACTTAATTTCTTAATTATTTTATTATAATACGTTTGCTTTTACTCAAAGTCTTTGTTTTGCTTCTTTTCCTTTTGAATTTTTTTTCATTAATTTTCAATTTATCCATTCTTTTCAACTCTTAACAAATTACTGTCTTTCCCTAATTATCTTCTCAATCTGTTGTATTTTATTTTTTTCTCCATCTATTTTATTTAACATCAAATTTTCAGTCTGCAGCATAATGTTTTATCTTTGGAATGATACAGGGATTCAGATTCAACCAATTGTTTATTCAACAGAAATTTCTTGAGCATTCCGTTAGTTTTTTTTTTTGCCCCTTCAGATCCAATTTCCATCCTGAATTCATAGTCTTTTCTATACATGAACTTGTGGATCTTATTCATAAGTTAATAATATAACCCATGTTCTAAATGTAAAGAAGCAAAGACCCAAAAGGTTTAATAAACTTTCTCAGATACTCAGCTAATATAGAGTTTAGTCAAAAATTGAATCATGGTATCCTAAAGTCTAGTACTCTTTTTCCTGTGATTTATTTTTCTCTTCCACCCTCGTAAATATCTTTCCATTGGTAACATCCATCAGTGATTATTTACTGAGAACCCATAGTGCATTGTAATGTATTGAAATTGTATCAGGCTAAATTCATAGATATACAAGAACAATAGACATGCACCTGACTACTAATCACTTTGTTCAAGAATCTCCAACTATGAACACTATTAAGGGGTCACATTTTTCGATGTTAGTATCAACACTGAATGTTAAGAACTGTCTCCTTATGGGTCTTTGAAAGCATCAGAATTAGAATTCCTCTTTCTTATCCTTGTTGACATATTAAATAAACAGATGAACCAATGGATAGACAGACAAAACAAGACAAGACAACAGACTATGGGATAAGATACACCTGACCTAGATCCAGATGCTAACCATGGAGAGAGCTCCAAAGCTCACTGAGTCACTCATTGGCAATACTAGCAGGTGGAAATTAATGAAAGAATGTAGATTCTGGAGTACAGTGCAGCTATAGAGATCACCTGGAAAGTTGTCCACATACAGCAAAACGGTAAGTTGTAAGGGAGATGGGAAACAAGAGTACTGGTAAAAATTGGATAGGAATCCAGAATGCGATGTACTCTTCAGGTTTGTTTTGAGGAGTAAATAAAATAACATATGTAAAATTTGCAACCTAGTGCTTGGTACAAAGTATAGGCATGGTATAACAAATGACATGAAGAAAGCTACCAATAATCATAACTCTAACAAGATGACTCAAGATGTGGGCTGCATCTAAAATATAGGGCAGCGGATAGCAGAGATCTTAACTGGGATAAGGCAAAAATGGAGAATCAAGGGATGAACTGATATGGCCCAAATATCAACACTTACCCTACAAACACAAGGTCCCCACACAAAATTGCAACAGAGAAAAGCAGTGTTTGTTAACAACACTTCCACGGGCTTCTCGCTACAGATGCTCTGAATCCCTTAGGCTATCTGAAGTTCTAAATTTATGGTACAGATTAGACCTATTTTTCCCACATCTGAACTGTGACACAGAATTAATGGTTCCTTTCTCATCAACACCCATATTTTGAAATCTCAGGTGTTAGAAAATCTGACAAGTCATTATTGGTCATGAGATAGGAAGGACTTTCAGGTTTAATGTCTTCTCCTGCAGGTATTTGTTAATCTAAGGAACCTTTAATTGGTTAAATATTTTAATGTTTGGGGTAACTATTCCCATGTTGTAGAACATTCATCTGTAACCATTAGCAACACAGAGACAGTAAGTTTTAGTGTGTTTGTGGAAGGATCTTGCTTTTTAGAGCCGGATGAGGGAAAAGGAGAAGATGCAGGCGTTTGGGGGATTATGTTTCCATTCAATCCCTTTGCAGGGATTAATATTCTTTCTGGATCTGTGCCAGAAAATTCAGTTGTGTTCAAATAAATTATTAAGTTATTCATAAGTATTGGTTATTCGATTTTTCTAAATTGACTTACACATTTAATATAATTCTTAATCTTAATTTTTTTAATCTTTATTTACTTTTGAGAGTGAGAGAGAGACAGACAGACAGAGTGCAAATGAGGGAGGAACAGAGGAGACACAGAATCCGAAGAAGCTCCAGGCTCTGAGCTGTCAGCACAGAGCCTGACATGGGGCCCAAACTCACAAACCGTGAGTTCATGACCTGAGCTGAAGCCGATGCTGAACCGACTGAGCCACCCAGGCGCCCCTATAAATCTTAATCTTAAATTACCACAATTTTTTGAATTTTTTCCCATGGAGCATGACAGAAATTGGGAGTGAAATTAATTTAGAAAAGGAAATATTTTCAGATGTATGAAAAAGGGAGTAATGAGTGTGTACAAACATATAAACTATTACAGTTCATCAAGATTAAAGCAAGGTTAATTAAAACAGTGTGTATATTAGACAATGCACAAACTTCTAGACAAAATTTTCATGAGATTTTTGTTCATAAATAAGATTTTACGTGGCTGAAGTCTTAATATACAAACGTGTGTGTATAATTTACTTTTTCATTTTTAAATCATTAGAAAGTGCCGGCAAGAATCATTTTAATGTTATATAGTCCATGATTTATTTCACCATTTCTTTATTATTGGACATTGAGACAATCTTCAAATTTCCACTGTTTAAATAATAATGCTCTCTATAATAGCAAAAGTTCAGAAACAATTTATAAGTTTAAGGGCATGAATGGTTAAGATAGAACACATCTAGGCTATAAAAATTAATAAAAAAGTCTGCAGTACAATGGAAATATGCTATGGCACAATGTCTACACATCAAATTACAATTCAGTTTAGCTTGTCTAAGAACCTTCTCCTGGTACATCACATTGTACCAGTATTAACTGTTCCTATGACTTCTATCTAAGGGCTAGGGATTGCAAGTTTGTCCCATTCTGTACCCCCAGTTCTACAGTGCCTCTATTTCAGGCACCCTGTGGGCACCCAGGGTATGTTGATGATATGACTGACTGAGTAAATCTGCTAACGGAAAGACTAAACATGATTAACAAAGCTTTGGTCATGTTCTTCTTTTTTCTTCCAGCTAGTTGTTTTTCTTTCTCTTGTTAACATGTAGGCACATCTCAGTCTTGGGCTTTGGGTCTAGGAACAAATGATTTTCAATAGATTTGGAAAATATCCCACCTTATTTCCATCCTGAGGTACATTTAGGGAGCAATGGTTCAGTGTGGAGATGTCAACACTACAGATTTATTTGCTTCCTTTTGCCTTGGCAGACAAAGTATCAGAGAGAAGGTCAAGAATCAACATTTCCATCAGATGATACCTGTGGTAACAGGTGGCAGTCAGTCAGGCTTTTAACATTAATATCAAATCAGAATAGAAAATAATGCCTAATATTGCTCAGAGAATTTGCTAAAGACAGGTTATAAACTATGAAAACTGGGTTTAATTTTATCAACAATAATCTAGTATAAGATCGTTTTTTGGGTTTTTGTTGTTGTCGTTGTTTTTGTCTTTAGCAATTAGGAAGTCCTAAGTAATAATATATGAAGTAAAGTTAGATGGGAAGCCTAAATTCATTTTTTATCTGATTCATTTTATTCATGAAGGAAATATGGTGGAATACTTAGGAGTGCTCATTCTCTCTTTGTCGGTTTCATTCAGCAGGATGGCCATACTGTGCCCATACAGCTATACTTTTGCTACCTAAATCATCCTAAACATCCTAGCGTATCTGAACTGTGCATAGAGGCCAGCCAAGCATCTATACTTGGCTTGTAATTGTCAACAGAGGGGAGCATAGTGGTCACACACGAGGGCACAAGTCACCCAAGTCAAAGGACAAGGAAGAGATGGGGTATTTGTTATTCCTGTCAAAGTTAAAAGGAAAGATTTTTGCCTTTTTTCCCCCTAAAATTATGTATGGCACTGCCTAGCAGACTTTGAAAGAAAGCAGGAAACTTCTAAAAAAAAAATGGTTCTTTTCAAACTTATCATAAAGACGACTTCTTCTGTGGAAGAGATTTTTCTATTTATAAATGATTTCACTGTTATATGAGTCTTATGTGTCAGTTTATGCATGCATGTAATTGTTCCTATAGAGAAATAGTATCTTCACTTAAGGGTGAGAGAGGAAAACGCGATTTCTCCTCCCACAAACAAAGCAAGGAGAGCTGGAATAAAAGAGGACTCGTTTTGTTTTCTCATTCATGAACCCACACATGTACACACACACATGCACGTATACACACAATACAGGCAGATGCAGGGCCTTCACCGTCTTGAAGAAAGCATGACATTCTCAGTAGTCTGCGACATAAATTAAATGCCTGACTTTACACTCTCAAACTAGTTTCATGGAAATACTATTTCCCCCACCACTCTTCCATCATAATTTTGGCCAATAAATATCCCATTGGACTGTAAGTCTCTTAAACACAAAGAGAGTATCTCATTCACCATAGTAGCCACAGCACAGTTCAGAAATGTGAATCCCATGCCAACTATGAAACGCAAATTCTACTTAATTTTATATTTTGTTTATAGACTATTTCTACCACATATAAAACCAAATTATTACAGTTTAATGTTTATGAACTCAACAAGTGTGCACGATCATCATATTCTGAATTACATCTCTGTTCTTAAATATCTCCCTCTCAGATTTGAGTCTACTTTGATGCTTAAGACTACCCTCAAGGGGCGCCTGGGTGGCGCAGTCGGTTAAGCGTCCGACTTCAGCCAGGTCACGATCTCGCGGTCCGTGAGTTCGAGCCCCGCGTCGGGCTCTGGGCTGATGGCTCAGAGCCTGGAGCCTGTTTCCGATTCTGTGTCTCCCTCTCTCTCTGCCCCTCGCCCGTTCATGCTCTGTCTCTCTCTGTCCCAAAAATAAATAAACGTTGAAAAAAAAAATTTTAAAAAAAAAGACTACCCTCAAAATAAAAGTCATTGATTTGAAATATCATTCATTAGTGTAACATGCCAAAACCAGAACTTTTCAAATAGCAAACCAATATATGCTTATAGACATTAAAATACCCTAATATTAATCATGGTAGGTAATGGTTACTGAGTACTTTCACAGTGCCAAGTCCTGTGCTGTTTCACAGAATATTTAAAACCCATCTCTTGAGGTGTCTCTCTCTGTTATTATAATATACACTTTATACAAAAGGAAAACTCTTGTGAAGAGGTTAATAACTAGTCTAAGGTCATAACACCGTATCAACTGGAGCTAAAATTCAGCCTCCTTTTCTCTAATTCTAATGCTTTCAGTCTTATACACTTTGCTCTGTTGTTTGCTTAATAAAAATTGTGTACCTCTCTGACATCCTGTTTCCACTATTATAGGTGCCAGCAAACTGTATTTGTCCAATCCTCGTTGTCATGGCAACCTAGGGGGAAAAAATAATAATTTTTAACTTACTAAATCTGAATGCTCAATGCCGGGACCAAAGACCTATGGCTTGTTTAAATAAGATTTTAATTAAAGCAAATACGTAGTTATTCAGTTAACTGTTATTGAGCTCCTATTATCTGTGGAGCATTCTCTACAGAAAAATAAATCCCATAGTTTTTTTATTGAAGCAAAATATTTATATTAGCACAACAGAGTATGGGGCACCTGGGTGGCTCAGTTGGTTAAGCATCCCACTCTTGGTTTCAGCTCAGGTCATGATCTCACGGTTCTTGAGTTAGAGCCCTGCATCAGTCTCGGTGCTGACAGTGCGTAGCCTGCTTGAGATTCTCTGTGTCTCTCTGTGTCTCTCTCTGTCTCTCTCTCTGCCTCCCCCACTTGCTCTGTCTCTGTCTCTCTCAAAATAAACAAATAAATAAACCTAAAAAAAAAAAAAGAGTATATGCCTGTATCTGACCAATTTTTACATAATCCACAACTTTATGAGTAAATAAGTCAAGTAGTTTTTAGTGAATGTCTTTTTGGAATAAAAGTGAATGCAACGAAAATAATAAAAGCAATCGTTAATGATAGTACAGGAAGTTAAGCACTACACCTAATCTATGGAGTAAAAATACATTCTCTGGCAGTACTGTAGGTTTATTCTTTACCTTGTGCAATGATATGTAAATGCAACAACCACAACTAAAGACTATTCTTAGAAAGGTGCGTACCTTAAACAGCTGCCATTAATGTTACAGAAACATGTCCTTGGAAACAGATACTTTCATATGGAATACTTGGATTTTACTAGCTGTGTGCCTCTTTCACAAACCTGTGAATGAATTTATACCATTGAGGTTATAAGGCTCTAGACACCCTCTCACCAAAAGAACCTCAAAGATTAAACCTGCCACATCCAACATCCTGACATCAACACCCTGGGCTGTATATCTAACTCCAATACATTTATCCTTCTTCAGAACAAAATAGATAGACAGTCAGCTAACTATGGCCAAGAGTGAAAAGTACTATCTCTTATTTCTTAGAAGACTGAAGAGCTGTTTCTCCTTCACTGACATAGACTATATTTTACTCCTTTGTATTCATTGAAAAGAACACTTTTTTTAAACTAAGCAACACTAGGAAAGTAGCATAACTGCTCGAAGAGAAAGCTGGATCTCGTCTCTAGTGCTGATCTGCTCTGTAGACTTGGGCAAGTTACTTAATCTCTCTGTGCTTCAATTCTCTTCACCTGTAAAGTGGGAATAATAACAATACTACCCCAGTGGGAAGCTCAGCAGATGGATATGACAGTGTAAATAAAGCCCTTATCAATACGCTTGGCACATGGTGAGTAACAGTCCACAATGACGAAGATGGTGACCGCCAGGCTCTCTGTACCTAAGAGAATCAGTTTTCCTGTTCTGACCCTCCCCTTCTGTCTCCTGCAATCATTTCATAAATGAGCTGTTTTACTTCTTGTGGAACATTTCAACTGAGCCCCTTCACTGGGACCTTCCAAGGAAGGTAGGATACTAGTAGACACAGAAAGGTATCCTGATGCACCTTGAGAACATATGGTAAGTGAAATACGGTAGTCACAGAAGGATAAATACTGCATGATTCCACTTACATGGGGCATCTAAATGGTCAAAATTTGTTAAGAGGGTAGATCTCATGCTATGTATTTTTAACAGTTTTTATTTTTCCAAAAAAGTATCCTGAGATATGACAAAAAGGGTAGGCCAATAGTGGAAATATGTGTTTCGGATACATTCCATTTGTTCTTACTAAATCCCTAAGAACAGAGACCCAAAAGATACTTTCAAGACTCCACACTAGCAGTTAAAAGTTATCTGACACTTTGAGCCAGTTTCTTCCAATCTGTCAGCTGCTGTCTGTTAGAGAAATTTTATGCCCTGAAGCAGTTGTGGCATACAATAATTCATAAGTGTGACTTCTAGGAACACCCACTTTACACAATACCAGCATTAAACATCCAAAATCCTAAGCTATAAAATACAAGGATGATGGAAGCAACAGGATGAAGATTGGGAACGAGCTGTGATTCCAGCAATTTCAAAGCTGTTATTTCATTGTGTTTCCCAAACACCAAACACTTACGTCTCAGACTAAGTAGGAGTGTCCAAATTGGTACTCTGGAATTCTTGGGGGGGGGGGGGCGTGGTTCTCCTAAATATGAAGCGTGACACTATGGACTATTATAAAAATAAAAGGGACTCAGCAAAGAATAATAGTCACAGGAGTCGGAAATGTATAGCAGAATGATTACAAGTTTGTATCATGCATTCTGTCATTTCTGATCATATGCAGATTAGACTTCCCATAGGAAAAAAAGTCTACGAGCATATATGCTCACAATTTCAGTTCTGAATTCAGTCAAGAGTATCTTCACTGGCTTTATAAAATAAAGAGAAATAGCCCCATCCTTCAAAGGAAGACCAGGTTGATTAAACACTTAAAACGGGAAGGAGTCAAGAAGTGACAGGTTGTAAGTTGACTAATTTAGGCACAGTCCTTGAATAAGAGCATAAATGTAAAGACCCAACACCAAAAGCAAAAGCCTTAAAGATTTTGAACTTCCTAACTGATATGCAGATTTACTGTCAAATTTTAATTTTTTTTCATATCGTACCTTTTAGTTTTCAAATATTATGAAATATATTTATTAACATAACATGATTTTTCTTACTGGATATTAATTTTTCAGTTATTTAGAAAATAGAAATGCATAAGTAAAAATATTTTTAACCTACAGATATAAAAGAGAATCCTTGCAAATATAATATCAGCATTCGTGATGTGTTTTACAATAGACGTGGACATTTTGATACCTATCAAACACTTAATAAAAGATGACTCCTCAAGGCAATTTGCAAACTATGGTTTCATCTAGATATATGTCAGTGTAAATCAGGAGCCTTCAGTTCACCGTTTTTCTAAACAAGTATGCCATAATCTTTGCTAGCTCTGTTTCCGTGAGGCCATCATAAATCTACGACACTGCACTGTCTCCTCAGAACGCAGTCACACATTCAAATACTTGAAAGCGTAGTGAACTATACATATAGCAAGTCTATATCGAGTTAGTAATCTCCTTCACCTGTGGGGCATATTTCATTTTCACAAAATCTTAATAGAAATGCGCCTATCTTGCTTAAAAACACCCCACTATTATCACACTTCATTCAAAGATACCTTTTCGGCTCGTCTATAATATGAAATAGGAAAATAGGAATGGACACTCCTTTCAACGTGCACACATGCAATTTGCCTACAATGTCTACCAGATCAGCCAAGGTGGACTTTGGTGAATTGAATGCAAACATACATTCAAATGACATAAAACATTTTGTTCTCAATTTGCTACCACTGGTATTTAATTTGCTTTGATCTAAACATGCTAACGTTATCCAAGCGGAAGAGGCGACGAAGATCCGTTGCTATAGATGTATTTCTAACACTGAAGGTGTCTACTAAAAAGGAAGTAAAATAAAATGTGTGAAAGTCTTTAATTTTCTATCTTCAAACTTAAATGGTATATTAAAATCAGAAAAAAAAATAAACCTTTGCCTTTTCTGGAATTATAGTTTATAGTTTTGTATTTATGGAATGCATTCATAGGCTCCCTTAGGATGTGAAATGTATGGAAATATATGTGCATTGCTAAAGAAAGAACTAAATTTATTCTTTCCCCACATCATGCTCTTCTTTGCAGTAGAGGTTTTTAATTCAATACAGAGCTAGTATGCGATGGAGCCAATTTCCTGGTCTATATGTGTGACAAATGCTGAAAGTAGCACGAGATTAACAAATTAGTTGAAGTATAGATCTTAAAGGATTTTTTTTCTGTGTCTCTAAATCAAAATTCATACTTTATTTGAAACGAAGCCTTCTTTAGAATTCAGAATGACTAAAGATCCTTTATTTCTCTGTATTTAAGATAAAAGGAGGGGATGTATGACAACTACTGACATTTTTATTTTGAGCAAATATTTTTATTTGTAAGTAAGTTTACAAAGGTCATATATTTGCGATTTGAAATGATTTTAATTGCAATCCTGCATCTGAGGTTAGTCACTGCAATGTGTGACTTGGGAAAGATGAACAATTATTCTCAAAATAAATAGTTATTCCCCCAGATAAAATCATAAAATGAAAAGCAGTGGTAAAATGCATTTATTTCAGTATTTTTTATGGGTAAAAACAATGTTTAAAATGTTAGGTGCTAGATAAATATGCTTACTTTTCTAGTAACATTTGTTAGCTTGGTTTTAAGTAAAAAAAAACTCTCAGGCTAGGCTGTTTTACCTATCCTCGAAATCATACGCTTGATATAATCCAGATATCTAACACCAAACAATAAAAACATCTGTGACAATAAAAGCATGTAACAGTTGTGGAATTGTTTAATTTGGGAGAAAATGCCTATGTTTGATAATCACACGTGCGTGAACTGATTGCTCCTCTTTGTAAAGAAACTTTTATATTTTGCAAGTAGTGCTTTGTTTTGTTTTGTTTTTTTAAAGGAATCGACTTATGTGAAAGAGCTCTTTAAAAGGTGTTCAGAAATATGTGTTTTGGATTTGGCTCACTCATTCAGAGTTAGAGGCTTGTCATAGTCCACCTGTTTTGCTCGGGCTTAAATTCTATCAAAATACAGCCTTTTAAAGCAAGCACAATCTTACTTGTTGTACCCAAACATGATAACATACTTAAAATTCAAGAAGAATTCTATGCAGGTTGTACGTCTCAGTCACCCAATCTCCTTTCACATATCTGTTCATGTTGACAGACTATGTCATAATACATCAACAGAAAGATCAGCACAGAAGAACAAAATTTCATCGCCTGACAGCAAGAGGAAAACTGATTTTCAGTATTAAATTAGTAAAAATATATCATTACCTCCCTTCCAATAAGTCTCCTACCTCTAGAAAATAAGGTGTCTGCTATAATCACAAGCGTATGCAA